AAACGTATGTATGTAACCTAATATCTAAATAATAGTATATTGAAAAGAAAATATGTATGTACTGTTTGAAATTCGAACGTATAATAAAAAATATTCTCATATTTAAATGTGGCTAGAGTAAAAAACAATACAAATATTTTTTGTAGTACGCTGAGGTTTTAAATAGCTCAGAATTTTAAAACAATAATAAGTAAAGTTAGTTAAATGGCTGGAAAACACTAGAATGTATTTTTTAACGTCTGACGGACTCCATTCTAGCAAACACTGAGTCACATTGGATCCTTAGCTTATTACGTCATCTTATGTGTGATTTGTCTAGGTATATAGTTTATCTGTAAATCAAACAATTTCAGAACAGCGTGGTACCTATATATATATTTATGACGCGGTTTGTTGTCACAATGGAGCGACGAATTCGGTCGAACGTCCAAAATTTAGATTTTCAATCATCTCTCATCTTCAATAAAATTCTAAGCAGTTTCTTTTTATTTTAATGATTTCTTAAATTTACGCGAACACTACACATTGAATAAAACTAAATTTACGGATTTTATCGCGTTTATTTCACTACTTTTACATATTTTTAATTCCCGACGTTTCGGGTGCTTTACAGCAACCATGGTCACGGGGGGGGACTGAGATGTTTGACGTCCCAATGTCATAGTTAGTCCGGCTACCTTCAGTTTTTGAATATTAATTTTTGGTCCGATTTACGCAAAACGAGCTTATAGTATCATGAATTAAAAATAAGTAAAAGTAGTGAAATAAACGCGATAAAATCCGTAAATTTAGTTTTATTCAATTCTTTTTATTTTGTTTCTGTCTTTTATGGTATTTCTTTTTGTTATGTTTTAAATTTAATTTCTCTGTCTTTTCAATTTTCCATAAGTGCAGGAATTGAATGGAGATTTTATTGCGTGTATGTACCTAACTCAATCTTAATTCCCAATTTGGGAATGAATTATCTTCAAAATTTAAAATTTTTTGTTTTAATTTTTTGTAAAATATTAGTGCCATCTAGGCTAATACTCCGTTCACATGTTACATCCTATTTTTTTCCAGACGGTAAAAAAGGTCATCAGCTATACTAATTGATCAAATTCATAATAATTCACATCCATCTGATTGCGATTTCGTCTCTGTACGTTTTGTAATTGTCATTTGTAACTCTTACTAGTATAGGCAGATACGTGGTTGAATTCCGACCAAAAACCGTATCTTATTGTTGAAACATCCAAATTTGTTTCGCTTTGTGGTTTTGTTTTTTTTTCTAGTGGTTGTGTTTTACATTTCTCTACTATAGAATATCTAATATTTATGATAAAGTAGCGATACCTACATTTATCTATATAGTTTTAATTTTTTTTTAACCTTTGGTATGAAAACAAAACTAAATGTGACGGCAGTCCGGCACATACGATTATTGCACGAGTGTGAGCGCAAACAGGTGCACTCAGTATTTCCTCACTCTCATAATCTAATGGGACGACAATCCGACACGAACGGAGAGAGATCAGGCGCAGGACCAGCGGCTTCACGTGCTTTACGAAGGACGGGATTAAAACACCGCCAACTTCATGACTTACTTACTTAAACACCAAAAAACCCCAACAACTCATTTTGGGTCACATGAAATTTAAACCCGGGACCACATGATTAGCGGTCGCGCTTATGACCACTTGATCCATGAGGCAGACGACATAATAATTAGCAGGATGAACCGCATGAGAGTCAGTTTGTTGGGTAGAAAAGTTGGTATTCCCTCATACGTTTACGCATTGAGTTATATAAATCAATGCGCTTACATCTATACAGAACTCAAGTCAGCTGAAGCTGAAATTTTTATGATATTATCTCAGCGCATAATATGAAACAGCCTATTCGCCCTTGCCTTATCAGAACAACCTTGAGTTGCGCGCAACGACGTGTAATGCGAGTATAGAATTTGTATTGCTAATTTAATTATTGTAACATAGATACGTCTTCAAGCTAACAATATTCTTAAAACACAACAATAACAATATCCTATAGCTTTTATGCATTAATATAATAAATACACTATGAAAAATATTTGTTGTTTTTTTTTTCCACAAACACTGTTACATAGTTGTAGTACTTAGTTATTTACATTCCACCTGGAATGGTATGGTCAGTAACTCTTAAACCAAATAGTCCTACCATAAAATTAAAATAAAATGTCCTTTTGTTATTCGTATAATATTATAGACGTAACATTTCAACCAAATTACAAATTAGTTCATCATAAAATTATAGGTTACATTTTATTATATAAATAAGTACATGTATTAATTTTTGTATTCTTTGCATTATTTCAAGATAAAGAACGTAAAATACTGGTTAGCAAAAGCAGTAAGAAGTCATGGTGTATTGAGTTGTAATAATTTCCCTAGGACAAAATTACTCTCAAATAAGCAAAAAAATCTTGCTAGAAATGCGTCTGGGTTCGACCTTCACAAAGCCGATAAGCACTCAACGAGTCTTCCGGTCTCCTTGAAATTGGCTACGCTAGGCGTATTATCCGCTTCTTATTATAACCACACAATAAATAGGTTATACGAACAAGCCGCACCCTTTTCGCATAAGTTGATTGAAGTTGTTTGTGTGTCAGCATACGTCGAAATTATCAAATTTAAGAGGATACCTTGAAAATGAATCGAAGTTTTGGAGGCTTGACTTATTCCTTTGTCGGTGAAGCTAACGGACGACTAAAGGAGTGAAATCAAAGAGATTTAAATATTACTACTACATAATGTCTTTGGTCAAAATGAAAGTGATGCAATGACTTCCATAGTACGCAAATTATGAGATAGCCGTACCATACCGAGCAAGGACTCGGAAAAAACTACGTAAGCGCCAAACAACATTTTTATTTATTTTAACAAAACTTCGTTATTGATTAAAAAACTGGTTTATGAGAACTTAGATATAGTTATTTACTATGCTTTAAAATAATTCCATGAACTTATTCGTAAGAATATTGTGATGTAATGGAGAAATGTAAATAATTAGAGCCTACTTTGCAATTTTTTTTCTATCGAGATAATTACATGATATCGTGTTTTCCTTTCATGCAATCCAAGTTCATATAGTCAAAAATCATATACCAAAATTTTGGTTTGTAATCGGTAAAATTTAAAAAAATATGTTAAATAGAAAAACCACCAAATTTTCAAGTTATCACCTTAAGTAAGTAAAGTAGAAAATGTAATCTGGTCTCTTTAGGAACCTAGCCTAGCCCTTTAGGAACTTTCACTTAGGTGTTTTCAAACTATTAACGTAAATATTAGACACGAACTCAAGAATATATATTATATATTCAGCCATTTTAAATGGTCCTAAATCCTAATAAGGGCAGACTGCCTCAAACTTGTACTTACACCTTAACTTTTTTGTCTGAAAATTAATTATATTTTTCCAAAAACTAAGACATTCTGATAGATAGCTCTCAGGCTTCTTCTTCATTACCAGCCAGTAGCAATACCTTGACCTTAATGACCTTTGAAATAATTATAGAGATCTGAGCAATTTAGATTCGTATTAAAATAAATTAACAATTAATTTTTAATAAATTAATACATGCTCTATTTCTTTCTTCTTTCAATTTTAAATTCATGACGGAAAAATTCTTTCCGTAAAACTTACTTGTTCCAGACTTCCAATCACAGTTAATATAAAAAAGCGCGACAGTTGAATTAGGAATAAAAGTGTAGCGTTTTTTGTACTAAGTATATTATTTTTCTATAATATATAGTTCAATTTATTGGAATATAGTAAGATACTACTATATGCCTCGTCAGTCGAGTCGTTGTAGTTATAAGACTGCTGATCATGAGGTCCTGGGTTCGTATCCCGGGTTGGGCCAACAAAATCAATCATTGAGTTTTTCCGTCAAGAAATTCTCAGTAGCTGCCCGGAGTCAGGAAGCTGGCGGTGTCTCACCCCCGTGCCTCGGAAAGCACGTAAAGCCGTTGGTCCTGCGCCCTCTCCGGCCGTGTCGGTTTACGAGAGTTTATGAGAGTGAGGGAATAGAGCGTGCACCTGTTTGCGCATACACTTGGGCACTATAATCCTGTCCTGCGCCGATGGCTAGCCTCCGTTGAGGCATTATTATTATTATTATTATTATTATAGTAGGGGTGGCAACCGTAGTCGTAGAAACTGCAGGCTTAGTCTTAATTAAGAAAAAATCTCTTTACGTAGTCTCATTACTCAAATTTTATACTTTAATTAAGCTCCTATTTACAAACTGTATATTATACAACTCAAATTAGTCGAACTGTTTCTTTTCTAATTTGTTAATTTTCCAGCATATCGCCTACGCAATGTTATTGTGATTATCTTGAGATCATTATCTATGAAATAAAAAAAACACTATATATGATTATACAAAGCGCACTCAACTTTGAAGATTTCACGTGTTCGTCATGCTTGACGACCAGTGTGGTCCTATGGTTCATATTACCCAATGCCTCATTCCTTTGAGGTTGCTCTCAATTTTCGATGTTAATACTGTCGGTTGCGTGTTTTTTTTTTTTTGGTATTTCTCTTAGTCGACTTTTACGACACACACCGAGTCACATACGGTATTCTGGTATACCGCCACACCAATTTAATTTTCTTACATGAGTTAAATCAGTTATAATTATCATATTTTTGTATGAAGTTACTATTAATAACCAAGTTTAAATGCATATTATTCTAAAATTGAATTTGCTGCGCTCCATATATGCCATAAGAATTAAGGCTTTGTTCAAAGCCGAACATGGTTCAAGCTTTTCGCCCGAAATGGGTCCCAACCACAGAAATCTATTGCCTTATTATTTAGATTTCTGAGGTCCCAACAAACACATTGAAACGTTTGCGCTTATGTGGACCAACATCGCGATCCTATTAAAAATCATATCGAAATAAATCCACTACACATCTTAACAATTAATTATTGAATTAGGCCGCAATTCAATATCATCTCAAACTTACAGATCAATAGCAAATACAGCGAGGAGTTGGCTGAAGAATGTCTGGAATGGATCAGACAGATAACCGGGGAGCCCGACAACACATCGGGGGACATGGACAACTTCTTCGAAGTGCTCAAGGATGGCACCCTTTTGTGCAAGTCAGTATTATTTTCGCATTTCTCATTCGACCACACAATTTTGTTGTCATAACAACTCGCATATGTAGGTACTAGAAGATAAATATCCAGGATTTAACTAAATAATTCTTCTCACTTCAACTTCAAACTTCAACATTCTTCTTCTCTTATCTTTAACAACCCGTACTAGGCCCCAGCTGTACATGAGCCATTCCCATTATAGGATTTCCGGTATTCGCCACGTTTGGAACCTGTGCGTCTTAGCTATATAATGACTTATTACGACTACACCGTTACCGCACAGCACTGTAGATGCACAATATAAAGACAGTATAAGTAGATGCCTACTAGTTTCCCCGTTACTGTCACCTTTTTACTATCTGGACATTTGATAAATGCATCAATTGACGTACAACCAAAAACTTTCTTATTTTTGGTTTGTGTCGGTATTTACATCATACACTTTTGGATTTTTCTATGAGTAAAGGCCATTGAATACCAATAGGCGTTATGACAATCCAGATTACGCAGGATGTAAATTCGGTTTTTATCGAGACCGGTAACGAGCAGCGGTGTAAAAGGCAACGAGAAGTCTGGCACTGCGAACGTCTTTCCGTCTGCGAAGCGTAATTATTACGGTAAATCCTCACTTTAAAATCTAGTCCAAAAATAAATTTTTTGGGGTGATAAAAATGCAAATGATTTGCACTCCGATGATTAACAATGAGTTTCTCTCAATCTCCAATTTTTAAAACAAAAATTTGACTGTATCGTGACGATCTATTATACAACAACATGTAAATGTGTATGTGCATGCATTTATGCGTATATAAAAAATGTCGCAAATAAATTACTGATTAATATTAAGAGCCGTGGTAGCTCAGATGGTTAACGCTCGCTGTAAAATAACAGAACGCGAGTAACCCGGGTTCGATGCCCGCCGGCACCAATGAAATTGTTAATTGCAATTTTAAGTGCTGATTTACCACGTGCTCGGCGGTGAAGGAAAACATCGTGAGGAAACCTGCATGTCTGAGGAATAACAAAAAAAAATTCGAAGACATGTGAAGTTCGCCAACACGCATTGGGGCAGCGCGGCGGACACTTCCTTGCCCTAAACCCTCTCAGAAATGAAGGGGAGGCCTGTGCCCAGCAGTGGGACGTATATAGGCTGTAACTTTATTTTTTTACTTTTAAATAAATTACTGATTAATGTTATATTAATACTATTGGTCTGTTATATTTCAGTTAGTATGTCTGTATTAAGCTATTTTTTGCATGTTCGGAAGTTAGATACCGTTTTTTTCTGCCAACATACTGCTGAGCAGTTTGGCGACCGTAAAGCTGTAACTGTAAATTTTTATTATGTTAAAAATAAATAAAAAGTAAATTCATAAGATTCAAGAATAAAAATTTTAACTTGCTAGAATCGAGTCATTCGAGAACTTAGATATTATAATATACGAATGTTGCTTGTTTTTCCATGCAGGTTATTCTTTAATGGAACTTTCATAGACCTTCACTTTGCGTTAGACTAAAGGGTGTGGGTAGAGGAGTGTCTTCGCATGGGCACGGTCATTTACCGTGCAGCACTTAATCCACACGAACATAAAACATATACAACAACACAGCACTTTATTGTTATACTGCTTTTTAATAATCCTTTCCTGACAATTTTAATGTGTGTTTGATGTGTTATAATCGTTAGTAATTTATTTAGATGTGTCGCGATTTTAAATATGCTGAAAAATTAACATGCCTCAAGTTCCAACAGAGAAAACGGAAAGGGTGTTGTGTTACAAAATCGGGGGCTTATCATTCTACTCTAATATTACTCTGATGGACGACACACACGGTCAGTTCAAATGTCGATAATTATAAATATATCAATATCGGAGTTTTATATATGTTTATTTATCGATATATCGAAAATCTAATATTTTAAAAAATTATCAACAGTCCTAGTTTGAACTGATCAGGAACTGACCGTGTGTGTAGTCCATAAGATTTCATGGAGCGATATTTATCCGAGTCCGCAGCGGTGCTGCGAACGCGTAGATTGTATTCATCTAAAAACAAAGCATAAAATAGTAGTAAAAAGTCGCCATTCGTTGTAAATAACAGTTCTTTCTGCAAAATGGTTGTCAAGAAGAATTTTGTGGTGGTGGCCAGACATATACATCTATCCTCGTTTGCGAATCAAAGTGCAGATGCGTTGTCAGCCGTGAGGACTAAGATGGAATGCCTCCCTTCTAGTGAAAAGGGTATCCCGTTCTCTTTCACTCACCATACGAAACACAGCAGCATTAAGCTGCTATTTTACGGTGGTATTCTGTGAGAGCGTGGTCTTTTCCCGGTCGAAACGACCCATTCGTGCTACATACTATCAATATAAGTTCATGGCTCTAGCTCCTAGAAAACTTCACGGCACACGGCGTGTGCGGTTCCATGCGACTGCCTCTGCACTAGTGGGCCTCTGGCAAAATGGTTGGCACGCGCTCTGCCCAGGCACGACCTTACTGGGTAGGACTTCACTAGATATAGTTCCATCACAAATTACCCGACCTTCGGGCCCTCCCGATTGACGATCATCTAACGCCAAGTTTTGCGGGCGTTACCGCCTCCGAGGCGGACTGGTATCCGTACTAACTGCGGTCTCGTGAGTTTTGAAATAAAATCGCTGTTCCTCTGTTCCTGTGAGTTCTTAGTCTAAACATGTAGTTTGTGAATTTGTACGCCTCTAGCGTGTAATCTTAAGAACCACTTATTCGATTTCGAAAATCCTCGCACTAGTAGTAAGCTCGATTGTAAAGCTATGTTGAGCTTTGCTGATAAAAATAGTACGTAATAAAATGCTGGGTTAATACTCATCATCTGAATAGTCATAATAGCTCAAGAGCTAAGTGCTCACCATAATTTAACCTGGTTGCGGTTCCCGCCAGCACCATTGTGATTGAACATTTATTTGAGTGTTGATTTACCATGTGCGCTATGGTGAATGGAAACATCGTGAGGAAACCCGCATATCTCAGAAATAAAATATATTTGGACACCAACACGCAATGGAACAGCGCAGCTTGTTGCTCTAAAACCCTTTTAGAAATGAGAAGAGAGTTTTAACTTTGATAGTCGTCTTAACTTTTCATATACGCGCTATACGGTCAAAATCGCGGGCAGCAACAATTGTAGTAATACAATGGTAAATGTGATAATTTGTATTTTCAGGCTTGTGAACAACATCAAACCAGGAATGGTGAAGAAGGTGAACG